TACAAAGAGTTTTTTTATCTTAGAGTCTGTGGGCTAACAAATTTAGCTGTGGGCTCCTTAATTTGAAATGTCAGGGGCCCACATGGCTCGTGGAAATTTCAGTTAAGTTTAAACCCTGTTAGAATTATTCTTTCCCTCTTCTTATGATTATACTATAATTAAAAGAAAATATTCCTTTCTTCTCTTTTAAATGGGAGGTCAACATTACCGCTACATCGTCAAAAATTTCAACTCATTACCGCTACATTTTTTTCAAATTTTTGACCGATCATTACCGCTACATTTTTTTTGGCCGAAAACAACTCATTACTGCTACATAATCATATTGAATTAGCCAGGTATGGTACGGAATATGAGTTCCAATCAACAGAATTCACTCAGTGTGTAAGTAAAGTACTATAATTTTTTTTCATTTTGAATTCTAAACAGAAGAATGTGAAGACTGAGTTTTAATTATAGACAGAGCTTGATTTGATTTTTAAAATTTTAAAAGTGTACCGGTATTATGAAATAAAATAAATTTCAAATTTAAACTAGAACTGTCCAAACGGGACAAAATACCCCCCGCTGGGTTTTTAGAAGTAAGTTTTTCCTTAATAAAGATATGGACCGGACACGAATTATGAAATTTTTCTTCCAGTGACCTTGAACTTCCCCAAATGACCTTGAGTCAAGGTCATGACACACCCTTGGGTCATGGGCAATCTTTGTGTGAAATGAAAACCTACCAAGTTTATCCACAAGAAAGATATGGACCAGACACGAATTATGAAATTTTTCTTCCATGACCTTGAACTTTCCCCAATGACCTTGGGTCAAGGTCATGACACACCCTTTGGCCATTAGCAATCTTTGTGTGAAAGGAGAACCTACCAAGTTTATCCATAAGAAAGATATATATGGACCAGACACGAATTATGAAATTTTTCTTCAAGTGACCTTGAACTTCCCCAAATGACCTTGGATTAAGGTCACGACAAACCCTTGGATCATGGGCAATCTTTGTGTGAAAGGAGAACCTACCAAGTTTATCCATAAGAAAGATATGGACCGGACACGAATTATGAAATTTTTCTTCCAGTGACCTTGAACTTCCCCAAATGACCTTGGGTCAAGGTCATGACACACCCGTGGATCATGGGCAATCTTTGTGTGAAAGGAGAACCTACCAAGTTTATCCATAAGAAAGATATGGACCGGACACGAATTATGAAATTTTTCTTCCAGTGACCTTGAAGTTCCCCAAATGTCCTTGGGTCAAGGTCATGACACACCCTTGGGTCATGGGCAATCTTTGTGTGAAAGGAGAACCTACCAAGTTTATCCATAAGAAAGATATAGACCGTGGTGGTGAGCAGGAAACAGGACTTGTTCTTTTTTATGTTGTACTTTAAATCAATCTGTACATACATACCGGTAAGTTGATGGCTAACGAAAGAGGCACTGTAGCGGTAAAGTATACTTTTATACGTAGCAATAATGCAATTTTTAAGATCGGGATCGAGATTTCATTTGTAAAGATTCTCTATCAAGAAAATGTTTGAAGACATATACTTAAATACACTTTACAAAGCGTTGCATGGACTTAGATCACGTAATGTAATGACAGATTGGCATGCTGTACAAAGTTTGATAGAACCTGAACCAGAGACGTAGATAAATAATGTTCCTGATAGAATGGCATCCAAACTTCTTACACTTTTTAAGATCCGACCTTGTTGTTGAAGCATTTGATCAATTGCTTGCATATCACAATGAATCATTATTGCATTGTCATGCTAATAAAGAGTGTTTTGTATTTATAATGACTGTGTAATGGGTTAGGTACGTAGTAGTAAGTAAACATGACAAATAGCAGGCAAAGTCCTGTCTCAATAGCTGTCAAGCTTGTATTTTCATTTGATAATTTTTTTGTAATCAGATTACTTGTGTTCTTCTGTACAACCATAAGGGTACATGTATTCAATAAAAATATTTCATTCAAACCTTGCAAATTTTTATAGTCACAGTAATAAGTAATATATGATATAATAAAGACATAATACAGATTCTTATTTAAATTATCAAGTTTTATTCACAAAATGTATTTTTTTATGGCGAGTGAAATATTTGATAATGGCGACCAGAAATTCTGAAATGGCGACCAAAAAAATTTTTAGGTCGCTATTTTGCGACCTAAGAGCAAGTGTGACTTGGAGCACTGTATGTAATTCAATACACAATTTATGATCATTATAATTTTTACTCTTAAAATATTTATTACATACAGTACTATTTTCTATAATATGCAATTTATGCTACTTTAGGATATTCTCATTGTTTTATTTTTTCAAAATTAAAGGAGCAGTGCATTAAAAAAAAATAATGGTCGGTATACAACACAAGTCCGAGGCCTCTTGTCTCTTCTTTCAATACAAAAGTATAATCCAACTCTGTAAAAGATACATGGAATGGCCAACTTGATACTAATATATTGTAACAAGATAAAGAGATTATAACTAAATCCCCAAAACCTTTAAGGAATGAAATGCATGATCATGGATTAACTAATAGTTGGTCTGCATGGTTATTGAATCAGCAACCACCCCATAAAATTATTTTATTTATCATATATACTCATCTATATTGGTCATTATTACGAGTGATTAATCATTATTAAGGTTAATTGATTTGAACATGTTTTATTCTGTAATAAAACAAAAATGGAATAAGCAGCATTCCTTGCTATGACCATAAACACACTGAATGACAAAAGGAGATAATTTCCTTTTATTTGGTGCAATGTACTATAATAGTACAGTTTTAAAACGTTAATAATAGAATACCTCATGTCCAGAGTACTTCATCCCTTGAACTTAAATTTTTACATATTTTATAGTTGACTAAATGCATTTTAAAAGCATGCCAATATTTTGACAGCTTGGTGCCCAGGAGTAAGGAAAAATATTTTTAAAAATTCATTAAAGTTGATGGTTTTGGTCCCACACCTCAGGCCCTGTGGGTAAGAGATTTTGAAATCTGAAAATTTTGCTCCCCTTTACCTATAGATGCTTTGTGCCAAAATTGGTTGAAATTGGATAAGCTGTTCAAGAAAAGAAGCTGAAATGGTTCAAAAGATTAGGAAACAGACAGACAGGAAGCACAACGTCGGACAATAACATATAGCAATAGCAGTGATTGGGAAGGGCTTGCGCCATGTGCCATAGTCGCATTGAAGTGAAAAATGGCGCATTAAATCAATCAATCATGGCGCCATATTTGGTGCGCATTCAAGTTTTAGCGATGTTATTTGGAAATAGTTTGTGTACGACCTTCTTTCTTGTTTTACTTTTGTTTTAACAATCTCTCACCAGAGGGTGTTTTTACGTAAGCGGAGCGCGCCCTCTGGTGAGAGATTGTCGTTTTAAATGCAGTCAATTTAAAACAACAAATTTATTGGTTTAAACCTGTCAAAAAGTACTTCCGGTTAAACGAAGCACTTGTAAACATGAGGTACAATACTTCATTCATTTGTATGGTAAGACTGTTCCCTTTCCAAAACTGTCATAATTTTAACACAAAATACGGGTCTGTTATATTCTAAGAAAGTTCCATAAAGTTTACTGCATTTCATGCGTTAAAAATCGGATTTGGTTAATTAAAAACGTGTTTTCTCCCGTATTTCATATTTGTTTGTCACTTTGTTATTTCTTAAAATGGCCCTTCAGATTATATGGATGGCCCATTCATTTTCGAAATGGCCCATCAAAAATGTTGACAGTTGCGCCATAGTCCCATTGACCATTTTGGCCTTCCCAATCACTGCAATAGGTCACCTGTGTGACTCAGATGACTAAAAATTGCACATACAAACCATAATTAGACTCATTAAAATTAAATAAGATGTCCTTGTGGTATCCTTGTGGTTCCTTGGGGTTCCTTGTGGTTAAAAGACATACCCTCTAAAAAGTTTACTCACACCGCACAAATGGCCATAGCATTAAGTCTTTTGAGCCTTTGGCTCAGAAGAGCTAAAAACCGAATACAGTACACTTCTGATTTCCCAGAATTGATACGAATGTGATTTGAGGGCTATAACTCTTGAAATTTAAATGATTAAGGTTAGAATTGACAAAATAAATGTTATAATCCACTGAACAATAATTTTTACTTTAAAAATACAATTTAATATAGCATATAGTGTTTTAATATATATCAAAAATACAATGCAATATAGCATATTTATATTTGTAGTATATCAGAGACTTTTAATTTTTTTAAAATAGCATAAATATTTTAATTGGAGGAAAATATTCACATATTTGAACCATGGGGAAAATGTTAGCCTGTAAATGTCAGGATACATAAACATAATGTCAATAAAATCTTAAAACTTGATTGTTTCATGTTTTTGTTGGGCAAGTGAATTTTTTAGGTGGGCAAGTGAAATTTATTGTATCACTTGCCCTTCGGCAAGTGAGTTTTAAAAAGAATTCTAGACTGACACATTCTGTTGCGTAAAACTTGGCAATCAGAAGCTAGCTATATGACATTCCAGCTCTAGAGCTCGATGCCATAATAATGTGAAAAACAATTGTAAAATAAAATTAAGTGTTAAATTATTTCGATAAAAAACGTTTTTGAAATTCAGTTGGGATCGGGATGTCATAAAATATTTCACCGCCTAATTTGTTACGCTGGGGGGGGGGGGATTTCTATAAAATAACTTTCTAATTGACTTTATGTATAGAATATGATTGATTCAGTAAAAATAATGCATGAAAGGTTTTAGAATTCGCCAATTAACCTCAAGTTCTCAAGGGTTCTCTAGAGTTCTCAATTGTTCTCTGTTTAGTAGGACCGCTTTAATCATGGGCAGTGATGGGGTATACATACATGTTAACCCTGTTCAAACATTCTCTATCATCTGAAAGGCAACTGCTTTATGATTACACAATAAATACGCGATAATGCGAGTGAAATCGAAACCTTGATAATTTTCCCAGGAATTGAAGACCGACCTGTCTATCTGTAGTTTTTCGTCGCCCATCCAAGGAATAAGATGATATCCCTGGTCGATAGATAATGCCCTCTTGTCATCCTTAAAGAGTTTACATGCATATCCGAACACAAATAACTCTTCTTTATCATCGGTTTGTTTCTCTCTTTCATTCAAGCACAAGCTAGGATTCAGCCAGTCGGCAGCCATTGTAATTCTCTATTTTTCTCAACGGTAAAACTAGTACTTCCGACTCCCGATTCTCTCGGTTTTTTTTAATCATTTTGTAGAATTAGATTTAGTGCACGTAAACTTGCAATAGAAAGGTATTTAACGTTATATTTCCACATCAAGACATAAAAAACGAAAGATTTTTATCAATGTTTGCAACGGCCTGCCTAACTGAATACCCACAGGGTTACTGTCAGTTATTTACAGGGTGTGAAATGAAATCCGTATTGAGCGAGGCGCTTGGTTTCAGGATGGAGTATTTTGTGTATTATGTGCTTTTCTAGTGTGTCTAAATACCCTCATTAAAATAAAAAAATTAAAAAATCGCTGAAATTAGCAAGTTTTACAAATGTCATATTTACTGTATTGATATAAAAAGAGTAAACATGATAAAAGAGCGCCACTCACCATCTTGGGTTTGAGGGAGTGCCTCGGTTCACACTTGATTTAAATCATTATCCATATTTTTACTACCGGTGTTGGGTGAGATCTAGCTTCAAAATTTATAACGTCTGCCGATTTGAACTTGTCGTATAAAACATGCAATAAACCCAAAACGTCCTCTTTGTAAAGGAGAAAGTCCGAAAACAACGAAAGCCCATTGGGTTTATTTTCGTAGGTTAAAAAGATATGTTTTTTTTTATAACGCGAAACTTTCGCGAATAAACGCGTAACTTTCGCGTTATAACGCGAAACTTTCGCATTATAACTCGTAACTTTCGCGAATTAACGCATAATTTCGCGTTGTAACGCGTCACTTTCGCATTATAACCTTTTATTATATAGTCTATTTATAGTCCCTATATAATCTATACAAGCGCAAACAGTTCATAACACTACTTATTATACCTCATTATAAATATTCTACACAACGCGTTATCTGATTGGTTCTAGGTTATCACGTGATCGGGCCGTAAAACTTCATATTTCACGGCCGTCAGCATGCTTTTCATCATATTCCACCTCTTCGGATACTTGGTGTATTTTCCCGAGTTCGTTTAAAAAAAACTCCCGAGAGTAATAGACGTCACAATACCCTGGTTTACGTCACAAATTTGATGATAATGTGTTGACCCAGGGTTTTAGTAACTTTACGTTAAAAATGAAACTGAATTTGAGACAGTGCCGAATTTGAAAGCTTTTTTTAAAGGTTTTGCCTGTTTCGGTATAATAAACAATTCATTGCATGAATGTTCGGGAAACATGAAGACTTATTCAGCCAAGAAATATCATTATTTCCCGAGGGCTATGATTTTTCTTGGCTGAATAAGTCTTCATATTTCCCTCACTACCATGCAATAAATGTATAATATATACATTTGTGGTATCTCTCTATTATATAAACATACAGAAAGAAAATATCTTCAATTCTGTATGAAGTTTGTCATAGGTCAGAGGTCAATACGTGACCTAATCACACGGCGCAATAATATCTACCGGTACATAAATTATAAAATGACCTGCTCCACTTGCTTTTCATGTATAAAAATGAAGAAATAAGCAAGTAAAATGATAATTATTTTATTTAAAATGTCATCAAGTTTTTTATACAGTTTTTGGGCTATCGATTCAACCTGTGTACATAGAGAAAACTACATGTAGGCCTAGGAGCCTAGGGTTTGTTTACATTTTTCTTCACTTTTGTCAGCTGCACAGTCTCTAACGTTTATTCTTATTTTTTGGGGAAGACCTTTGGTTAAATCTTAATGATAAACTTTTATTTTATCTTTAAATTTTACTCACGATAAATGTGTAATCTGTCGAAAAATATCATCGCAATCATGCCATGAACAGCTGCTTAACACCTCGGCGTTTTCGTAGTTTAATGTAAAGTTGTCGCCAGTGTCTCCGTGTTTATCAGTGTTTTACGATAAGTATGCCTTTAGTTACTGAAACCGTAGAATTTTTTTAATCAAATTGCAAATTTACTGGCTCGGACAAGTGTCTCAATCCATCGGATCCATCCATCCCTTTCCAGCGACCGAAATTCCTCCAACTTTTTATCATCAAACTTCGGACGTATTTCTTGTGTCTTTTCAGCAGCGATTATCATTTTTCACGAATAAAAATATTCCCAGACAACAATCTGTTCACTATTACTGATCACAAGTAGCCTTTCACAAAATATTCCCTTCGAAACAGATTCCTTAGCCTAGTGCATTCGAAGCGTAACCGCCATGCAAGCCGATTTACACCTTGCGTCATTTTTCCTAATCTACGACGCACGGTTAGTGCAATAATTTAAATTCGAAAATATTCAATTGTCTGTCTCAAATGTATATATAAGTAATAAATAACAAGTTTATAAACTTCAATTCCCATTGAAGTTTATAAACTTGTTATTTATTTCTTATATTCACTGGATCTGAGGCCGTATTCACCGGAGGGTCATTGCACGTGCAGCCGCATTGTGACGTCACAAAACTGGGTTGGGGCAGTTTACGCGAATCAGTTTATAAAAAAGCGTAAACTGTTCCAACTCAGTTTATACCGTATAAAATGGGTAGCTATTAAATTCATTGCTTATAATTTAATTTTCATTCATTTGATGTAAGAAAAAAAAGATGATTGTTCTAACAAAATGACTTCAGTTTGTACAAAATTTGAATGATTGTAACGTCAGGCGGATTGATACGTTTTTGACGCAAGTCATCGTGACGTAGGCAACCCATTTTATACGATATAAAGTAATTTTTTTTATCCAATCAAATCCAATCAGCGTTACAACCAGAATTAGATTATAACGTCACAAAACGTAAAATGATGCAACAAGTGCAACGTTATATTTTTACAATGTAACCTTTTGATTAATTTTTATTCTTTCACCAAAAATTCCTGTTTAATATTTTTTTTTAAAGTGGGAGGGGGGTATGCATGTTCACATATACATGTACCATTACACGTAAGTACATATAATTTACAATAATTATTGTATTTATATGATTAAAAAAGAATATAGTTTCAATTTTGTCTACATGATGCGAACAAATTGGGACCCAGGAAGAAATTTAACACACAAAAGTCCGTATACTATAACGCAATCGTTTTCCGGGCTTTTGTGGTTTTGATGTTTTGCATGCTAGGAAATCCAATGACAGAAAAATATCTATAACATAAAAATTTAAATATTTACATTTTTAGAACTTTTTTACTGAAGACAGCTGTATGTGTATCCTAGTTTGCTTATAGCTCCGCTTACACAATTGTCATATTAGACGAGAAGACATGCGCAGATCTAGCAGGGGTCAAGAACGACCCCTCCCTAATACACACAATTAAGAGCCATAGCTGCCTTACCGGCGACTCGGCCTACTCAAGTATTTAAAAGGAAATCCTGTTTCTATTTATAGATACATGTACCGTTTCAATTCAAAATCAAACTACATGTATGTAATCATTTGTGTTATATTTTCATAGTTGCAAGTTTGTTGCATGGCAGTAATTTTACTTGTCCAATACTCATTCTAAACAAAAATATTTGAAAATTTAAAAAATAAAACAGGCTAGCAGCTATGACTTTGGGTCATTAAAATAGTTTAAGACTGTACTTTCAATGTGTAATGTTGTATTATATATCTCTTTTAAAAATTATTTATACATGTATTATAAAACAATAAAAGAAAACATGGGAAAATGCACACAGAGAAAAAAAAATAAAATTGTAGTAAAGTAACACGCAACGTGAGACCCGAACTCACGATCCTTATGTTCTTAATTCAGGAATCATACCACTACGCCACGAAGTCTTTCTGACAAAAATGGATAAAATTAAGACAGATTGTTAAATTTTGAAATAATTTTAGAAGAAAAATTAAATACATATTTTCAAGATTTTCAATATGAAGACCACCTTTAACCAAAATTATCTAAACGTAATGAAGTGCAGTCATATCCAAATAAAATTATTCAGAAGTTGTTTTTAAGCGGTTAGCTAGCTACATGTAACCGCTTTATGGCATGGGCCTCCAAAAACCGGAAACTTCCATAAGGCGCTACCTATCGACATCGCTTTATGGCACGTAACCTTATCCTTCTGCAACCAAAACCGGAAACTTCCACAAGGCGCTACCTATCGACAACGGTAACTTCAGCAAAGCGCTTCCTATGATTTGTATACTGTTGGCGTAATACGCCCCCTGGTGAGAGATTGACAATAAGCTGTGTATGAAGAGTGGCTATTATAACGATTATATCGAATTCTTATTAGACTAGTATTTACCAATGAATTGACAATACTTAAAACACTAACTTCAAAGAACTGAGAATTTGTTCCTTATTACATGTACATCGTGCGATCGCGATTTATAGCAACTGTTAGTTTATTTTTGAAAGTTGAACGATACGGTTAATTATACAGCAGGTTGAAGGTTATTACAGACTGCAAAAACATCAGCAAATCTCTCGATCGAGTTTGATTTTCCTTGCCAAAGTATTAAGAAACACCATTTATTAAGTTAAGTAATACCTGAAAAACGCTTTTATAAAAACACCGAATACATCTGTACGTTTTACACTTTTTGTAACGTTTTTATGGAAACAATAGGATTACCTCCACAATGAAACGTTTGTTTTCTTCTCTTTTCTTCTCTGTCTAATAAACAGATTATAAAAGCTCAGCTCCCAGGGGTAAATTCTCTACTCCGTCTTTGATAATTTATGACAAACGATCATAAGGGATCACTTACTTTTAGTTTTGAAAAAAATAATGGGGCACTTAAAGTAGTAAAATTAATTTTGAAAAAAAAATGGATAAATATATATTAATTTTAATCGGCATTGTGATTCTCTTTTAAAAATCAACCGATATAATTATTCACAGAAGAATAAGATATGAAAAATCTTGGCAATTAGCAAAAATCTAAAATATATACTTAATGCTTATTTATAAGTTTTGAAAATTTGATCAATTCCTAAGGAACGTATTATTAGCTGAGAAAATACTTTTTACATTTGAATTTGTCTAATTTGTCGATTATTATTTTGAGCGTTTAAGAAGAATGAAAT